GGAAAGAGGAGGAGGGGTTGGGGGTGGAAGGGAGGAATATAAACAATTACCAAACCCTCCTGTGAGCTAGGCAATAATAGTTGGAACATCACATTTACATTATTAATGACTCTATTTCATTTGCATTCCTGTATTCCCTTTGTTTTGTTATTTCTGAAGGGAAACTATCAGACACGTTATTCAGTACACAGGAAGAACTAACAATAAGATCCATTCAAATGTGGAGAGGGAGCTCCTTAGGAGATAGGAGTCTCATCTTGAGCGCAATGTTCCAGCCGAGGGGGGATGCCTCTTTGTCAGGGGTTTTGAAGAGGGGATTTCCTATCAGAAAAAAATGACCAGCATCACTTCTTTTTTTTTCTTTTCGGTACGCGGGCCTCTCACTGTTGTGGCCTCTCCTGTTGCGGAGCACAGGCTCCAGACGTGCAGGCTCAGCAGCCATGGCTCACGGGCCCAGCCACTCCATGGCATGTGGGATTTTCCCAGACGGGGGCACGAACCCGTGTCCCCTGCATCAGCAGGCGGACTCTCAACCACTGCGCCACCAGGGAAGCCCCAGTATCACCTCTTTAACAAAGATGCAAACTTTCCTTCCTTCTCTACAATTGAGGTTTGAAGGCTAGAATGCCCACTTTCCCAGACTCAGTTGAAGATAGGAGTAGCCACATAATCCAGTTCTGGACAATGAGATGTTTGTAGAAGTCTCTGGGATGGGGGATGGGGTGGGAGAGGCTTTTGAGAAAAGGTTTTGAAAGAGAAGGACTCATTGGACCCCTCGTACACTGCTGGTGGGACTGTGAAATGGTGTGACCATTTTGGAAAACAGTTTGGCAGCTCCTCAGAAAGCTAAATCATTGAGTTATCACATGTTCACATAAAAATTTGTATGCAAGTATTCAGCGTAACAGTCCTTGTTAGTCCTGTTAGCTCCCTTTTTTTTTTTTTTAACATCTTTATTGGGGTATAATTGCTTTACAATGGTGTGTTAGTTTCTGCTTTATAACAGAGTGAATCAGTTATACATATACATATGTTCCCATATCTCTTCCCTCTTTGTCTCTGTTAGCTCCTTTTTAGGGTTTGCTGAAGATGGTGATATATAGACTGGATTAGCAAGGGTTGGTGAGGTTTATCGGGGTTTATCCATTATAGAACAGGCTCCTCTATAGGGGTGTGAAGCACTGCCAAGTCCTTTGAGTTTTAAGCTGTTACTAGTAGTACTCTGGCGAATAGTCTAGTTGCTGTGATTATTTGGGTTTAGGGCTAAGCAGAGTGGGGTACCTAATCCCAGTTTGGGTCTTAGCTATCGTGTGATCAGGATATGTTAAAGTCACTTTCACAGTTTATTTTTACTGTAATTATGGCTTTTTACAGCTTAAGCTTAATTAAGGTTTAACTTTATCTTGTATAATTCTTTAACACGCTTTATGCCATAATTCTATTAATTCGGGTCAATCTATGGCTGCTGGTGGCTGGCACGAAATTTACCAACCGTGATTAACATGGCTTAGTCAAACTTTCATTTATGGCTTAATTCTCATCACTGCTGTGTCCCATGGGGAGGTGGTTGAGCAAGGTGCTGTGAGCTGCAGGTGTGGCGTGCTTGATACCTGCTCCTTTTAAACTCAGTGATTTAGAGGGCATTCTCACCAGAGTTCAGATACTTGCATGTGTAATTCTGTTAAAAACTAATAGAAAGGCTGGGACCAAACCTTTATGTTCATGGGGCCAGTGAGCCCATCTAGACATTTTAAGAAGTGTTCAAGCTACATTAACTTGCTGCATATAGGTGGTGTTTGTATGGTTGCGTTGTGTGGTTTATGTCAGATTTAGTATTAAATTTTTGATAAAATGGCTGGTGAATCTAGGGGGATGTCTGTCTGTATGGGTGGTGAATATCTAAGTATCTCATTGGTATGATGGGAGTGTTAAGGTTAATTTATTCTGATAGGTAAATATTTTAAACCGGCGGGGAGGGGGAGAGTGGAGTGCTATGTCCTGCGACCACTGACTGAATTGCACAATGCAGGTTGCTCGTGCCAGTATATAATTCCAATCAAGTCCAGCTACAATTTGCTTGACTGTGTTATGACCTTTTAAGGTCATAGCTGAGTCCAAGCATCCCCCCACCCAAAATTAAAAAATACCAAATGCATGAAACCACAGTTATGTGTGAGCATTGGCTAATTAGTCATCAGTCCATCGAGATGTCTTATTTAAGGGGAAAAGAGTGGGCGATTTTAGGTGAGATGGCCCTGAAGTAAGAACCAGGTTGTCTGATAAAGTCCATTGATAGAAACCCCCAAGCTATGGGCCCGGAGTGAGGAGGGGGACACCTGCCGAGCACGCTGATGGTTTCACGCGGCCTGGTGATCAAGCTTGTGGTGTAATGTGCGGGATTATAAGTACCTTGGCTAAGGATTGATTTAACCTGACGTACTATGTACAACCAATAAATTGTATGTATTATGCAATATCAATGGTTTAGCGTACATGCTTATTAGGCATGTGGTAAATAATGTAATGCATGATTATACATACAGTGTATACATGTACGTATGGAACACATGTACTTATTGATGTGGTAGTGCAAACATGCACAATGTACATAACATGTATGTGATAAAATGGGTTGTTTTAGTACTGACATAGTACTGTAATTTTATGAATGTCTTATAACTTATTTCAGAGAATAGTTTATATAGAATTTCAGCTTTGGGTGCTGGTGGTGAAGTTTAGGGCTTCTTTCTTGAGTCTTAGGGAGGTGTGTCGTTCTCCTTTTCTGGTTTACAAGACCAGGATATTGTGTTATACTACAAAGACTCTTCATTTTAGAAATTTGTTTTCGATGATACTAGTTACTGGTATTAGCACTGGGATTAAAAGGAAATATAAAACAGATGCAAGTTGTCCGATAATGATGTATGGGTGTTCTACGGGTTGTCCTCCAATTCATGGTAGCGTTAGTAAGTCTTCTACTAACATTCAAAATAGGAGTTGGCTGAAAGGTTGGAATATCATGCTTCGCTGTTTGGATGTGTGGAGTATTGGAATAAATGCCAAGATTGAGAGTAATAGGGCTAAGACGCCTCCTAGTTTGTTGGGGATTGATCGTAGGATTGCATAGGCAAATAGAAAGTATCATTCTGTCTTGATATGGGGTGGTGTATTGAGTGGGTTTGCTGGGGTGTAGTTGTTGGGGTCTCCTAGCAGGTCGGGTGAGAATAGGCCTAGTATTAGTGAGGCTAGAATTACTAGTAGGGTGCCTAGGATATCTTTGATTGTGTAATAGGGATGGAACGGGATTTTGTCTGTGTTGGATGGGATTCCTGTGGGGTTGTTGGATCCTGTTTCCTGAAGGAATAGTAGGTAGATGGCTGCTAGCGCTGTAATGATGAAAGGGAGAATGAAGTGGAAGGCAAAGAATTGCTTTATCTACAGAAAAGCCTCCTCAAATTCATTCGACAAGGGTGGTGCCGTTATATGGGATTGCTGAGAGTAGGTTTGTGATGACTGTTGTGCCTCAGAATGATATTTGTCCTCAAGGTAGTACGTAACCTATGAATGCGGTAGCTATAACTGTAAGTAGTAGGATGGTTCCAATGTTTCATGTTTCTTGAAAGGTGTAGGACCCATAGTACAGATCACATCCTACGTGAGTGTAGGGGCAGATAAAGAATATGGAAGCTCTGTTTGCATGTATATATGAAATAATTCATGCATAGTTGACGTCTCATCAGATGTGTGTTACTGATGAGAAGGCAGTTGTTGTGTCTGGTGTGTAGTGTATCACTAGGAATAGGCCTGTTAGGATTTGTAGGATCAGGCAGATGCCTAGTAAAGAGCCAAAGTTTCATCATGACGAGATGTTTGACGGGGTTGGGAGGTCAGTGAATGTGTTGTTGACGATCTTCATCAGCGGGTGGTTTTTTTTGGATGTTGGTCATTGGTTATAGTTGGTCATTGGTCATTCTTATAGTTGAACGACACCGATGATTTTTCATGTCATTGGTCATGGTTGGAGTCCACGTGAGAATAATGATGACATACATTGTATTTATTTTAAGTATTATTTTTGTGATTAGGTTTGTGGGAGTTTCTTCAAAACCTTTGCCTATTTATGGGGGTTTAGGGTTGATTGTGAGCGGTGGTGCTGGATGTGGGATTGTGTTGAATTTTGGTGGTTCATTTTTAGGGCTGATAGTGTTTTTGATTTATTTAGGGGGAATGTTAGTCGTGTTTTGTTATACAATGGCTATAGCCACTGAGCAGTATCCTGAGGTTTGGGTTTCTAATAAGGTTGTTTTGGGGGTGTTTCTTTTAGGGTTAATAGTAGAGTTTTTAATGGTATTTTATATTTTGAAGGATGAGGAGGTGGAAATTGTGTTTAAGTTCAAAGGGTTGGGGGATTGGGTTATTTATGATACCGGTGATTCTGGTTTTTTTAGTGAGGAGGCTATAGGGATTGCAGCCTTATATAGTTATGGTACTTGGTTAGTGATTGTTACTGGTTGGTCATTGTTTATTGGTGTTGTGGTTATCATGGAGATTACTCGGGGTAATTAAATAAAAGTATGCTAAGGGTGAGTGTGATGAGAAATGATAGGAAGTGTAGTTTAATAAGACCTTTTTGGTTTGAGATTAGCGTGGAGGATTTTAGTTGAATGAGGGATGTGGTTTTTGGTAAGATAGTTTCTAATCAGATTAAGTCTAGGATAGAGGATGCTAATTTTTGGCTCATTAATAGGTTTAGATAAGGGGGTAGGTGGTGTATAATGGTGGGGCAATATCCTAGGAGAGTAGAGAATTTAAAGGAGCTTGAGGAGTAGGTATATTTTGTGTGTTGAGGTTAATTTCAAGTGCTAGCACGAAGCCCAGAGTTGTTACTATAAAGGCAGTTAGTTTTAAGTGCAGAGGTATGGTTATTAGGGGGATGGTTGTTGGGAGAACGCTGTTGGAGATGATGAATCCAGCAAAGATACTTCCGATTAGTAGGCGTTTGATACAGCTAGTTAGGAGGGGGTTGTTTTCACTGATAGGAGCTGAGGGGGAGGAGTGGGGTTGTCCCAGTAGTGCAAAGAAGATAATGAGACTGCTGTAGATGGCTGTGAGGGAGGTGACAGAGTTATTAATAGGGCTCAGGCGTTGGTATAAGACGTGTTGGCGGTTTCAATGATTAGGTCTTTAGAATAAAAACCGGTGAGGAAAGCACTCCTGTCAGTGCTAGGCACCCAATGATAATGGCTGTTGCGGTAAAGGGTAAGGTCTTGAATAGGCCTCCTATTTTTTGAATATCTTGTTCGTTGTTTAAGTTGTGGATAATAGATCTGGAGCACATGAATAGTATGGCTTTAAAGAAAGCATGTGAGCAAATGTGTAAGAATGCTAGATAGGGCTGGTTGATGCCTATAGTTACAATCATTAGACCTAATTGGCTTGAGGTAGAGAAAGCGATAATTTTTTAAATATCATTTTGGGTGAGAGCACATATAGCTATGAATGGAGTGGTAAGGGCTCCCAGGCATGACGTTATTTTTTGAATAACTTTATTGTTTTCTGTTGGGGGTAAAATCGGGTAAGTAGGAAGACCCCTGCTATGACTATTGTGCTTGAGTGGAGTAGGGCTGTTACGGGGGTGGGATCTTCTATTGCTGAGGGGAGTCAGGGGTGAAGTCCAAATTGAGCTGATTTTCTGGCTACGGCTAATACAAGTCCTGTAAGGGGGAGGTTTAAAGAGTTTAGGTCGAGTATAAAAAGTTGTTGTAGGTCTCATGCGTTTGAGTTGGATAGAAATCATGCTGTTGATATAATGAATCTGATATCCCTGATGAGGTTATATAAGATTGCTTGGAGGGCAGCTATGTTTGTGTCTGTTCGTCCATATCATTACCCGATGAGTAAGAAAGATATGATTCCAACCCCCTCCCATCCAATGAAAAGCTGGAAGAGATTGTTAGCAGTAACAAGGATTAGTATGGTAATGAGGAAGAGGAGTAGGTATTTGAAGAACTGATTAATGTAAGGTCTAAATGTATGTATCATATTGAGAATTCTATGATAGACCATGTAATAAACAATGCTACTGGTACAAATATTATTGAGAAGTAATTTATTTGGAAGCTGAGCGTTAATTTAAGGGTTTGGATGGTGATCCAACATCAGTTTAAAATGATTATTTCTTGGCCTGTGTGAAGGAATATTATCATTGGGATTAGGCTGGTAATAAAAGCACATGAAACAGTACTTTTTACATATGATGGGTATTTATCACTTTTGTAGAAGTTTGTGTTAGTTATTATAATCGGGATAATTAGTATTAGTAATGTGACTGAGGCAAAAGAAGAGAACAGGTTTATTACTTTTATTTGGAGTTGCACCAATTTTTTGGTTCCTGAGACTAATGGATAACTACTATCCTTTAAAAGTCTGAAAAAGCCATACTACTAGGCATGGGGGCATGAATTAGCAGTTCTTGCAATACTTTCTCTGTAAATAAGAAGTTTTAGTCTTCCGTTGCTAGATTCACAGTCTAGTGTTTTTTTTAAAACTATATTTACAGTATAGGGGGCCCAGGATGATTTTAGGATTTAGTGACAGGAGTAGGAGTGGTAGGATGTGGAGGGCTATAAGGGCATTTTGTCGTGTGAAGGAGGGCATAATATTATTGATGTGGTGCGTACATTTACCGTGTTGTGCTGTGATTAGTATGTACATAGAGTATAGGGCTGTAATTACAATGTTAGTTCCTATTAAGATGATAGTGAGGTTTGATCCTGAGAAAGTTGATATGACTATGAACAGCTCTCCGATTAGATTGATAGTAGGGGGCAGGGCCAGGTTTGTCAGGCTTGCTAGCAATCATCAAGTGGCTATTAGTGGGAGAAGAATTTGTAGGCCTCAGGCTAGGATTATAGTTCAGCTATGAATTCATTCATAGTTTGAGTTTGCTAGGCAGAATAATATAGATGATGTGAGGCCGTGGGCGATTATTAGGGCGGTAGCCCCTATGTAGCTTCAAGGGGTTTGAAAGAGGATAGCTGCAATAACGAGTGCCGTGTGGCTGACTGAAGAGTAGGCAATGAGTGATTTTAGGTCTGTTTGACGTAGCTAGATAGAACTGGTTATGATTATTCCTCACAGAGAGAGCGTGAGGAAAGGGTACGCTCTGAATTCTGTTAGGGTGTTGAGTATTGACGTGATTCGTAGCATACTGTAGTCCCCGAGTTTTAGTAATACGGCTGCGAGGACTATAGAACCTGCAGTGCGAGCCTCTACGTGTGCTTTGGGTAGTCAGAGGTGGAGGCCGTAGAGGGGTATTTTTACTACAGAGGCTATCGTGCAGGCCAGTCATATAAAGACGTTGGTGCAGGAGTTGGATAGTGGCTGGGCTCAACACTCAAGTACTAGAAAATTCAGAGAGCCCGTGGAATTTTATATATATACTAATGCCACTAGCAGTGGGAGGGATCCGACTAGTGTGTAGCATAACAAGTAGAGTCCTGCATTAAAGCGTTCTGTTTGGTTACCTCAGCAGGTGATGATAATAAGGGTAGGAGCTAGTGTAGCCTCAGATATAATGTAAAGTAGAATTTGTTCTGTGGCGGTGAATGTTATGATTAGAAATGTTTGTAATGTGATTAGTATTGTGATATATGATTTTTTTCAGATTAGTGGTTCTTTGAGTAGGTGAGACTGACTAGCTATTAGTATTAGGGGGAGGAGCCACATTGTTAGGATTAATAATAGTGCGGACAGGGAGTCGGAGAAGAATATTAATGAGAAGTTAAGGCTATGATCGTTGAATTGGTTAAGAAGAAGTAGGCTTGTGAGACTAATTAGTAGGCTGTAGGTTGTGGAGTTAATTCAGACTATATTACTTTTTGATAATCAAGTTAGGGGTATTAGTATGATTGTGGGGATGATGAATTTTAGCATTGGAGAAGGTTGAGGTTTTGTACGTAATCAGTGCCATAGATATTTGATACTATTACTAGTAAGGCTAGCCCAAGTGCTGCTTTGCAGGCTGCGAACACCAGCAAGATGATTGGTATTATGCTGGCTAAAGTAAAATGTGAATTTAAGATTGCCAGGGCCGCCAGGATAAATAGTGATAATATTATGCCTTTTAGACATAGTTGTGAGGATATTAGGTGGGATTGATATATTAGTAACCCTATGAAGGATATAGTGAGAGCTATGATAATGTTTGTATGTACTAAAGACACTTGGTAATTATGAGTCTAATCATAATCTAATGAGTCAAAGTCGTTTATTTTGTTTTAAACTAAATACCATATTCAGCTCACCCCAGTCCCTTTCGAGTTCACTGGTGGGCCAGTCTAATTGCCAATAAGGAAATTAAAAGTAAAGCCATGGTGAGTATTGTTTTTAGGTTTTTTGTTTGAGTTGCTCAGGGGAGGGGTAGTAGGAGAGCAATTTCTAGGTCAAAAAGGAGGAACGTGATTGCTACTAGGAAAAATTTTATGGAAAAAGGTAGGCGGGCGGATCCTGTAGGGTCAAATCCTCATTCGTAAGGGCTTGTTTTTTCTGCATGAGTGTATAGTTGAGGAAGTCAGAAGGCGATGAGTACGAGTAATGAGGCTACTGTTGTATTTGTTAATAGGGTCAGTATTAGGTTTATTATTCTTTTTTCAGGGTGTACCAAAACTAACGGATTGGAAGTCAGTTGCACCAATTAATACTAAAAGAACTATGATCCTCATCAATAGATAGATACGTAAAGGAATAATCATACAACATCTACAGAATGTCAGTATCAATCAGCGGCTTCAAAGCCGAAGTGGTGGTTGGATGTGAAGTGGAATTTTAATTGGCGCAGGAAACAAACAACAAGGAAGGTAGACCCAATGATTACACGCAGTCCGTGGAATCCTGTGGCCACAAAGAAAGTCGATCCATAGACCCCATCTGAGATCGTAAATGGGGCTTCGTAATACTCTGAGGCTTGTAGGAATGTAAAATATAGACACCAAGAGTAATTGTAATAAAGAGGGTTTGAAGTGTGCACTTACTATTTCCTTCCATAAGTCTGTGATGGGCCCAAGTGATGGACACGCCAGAGGCCAATAGCACGGAAGTGTTGAGAAGCAGTACCTCTAGGGGGTTTAGAGGGCGAATGCCTGTTGGTGGCCAACACCCGCCTAACTCAGGGGTAGGGGTGAGGTTTGAGTGATAGAAGGCTCAAAAGAAGTGGGTAAAAAAGAGGACTTCTGGGCTTCCCTGGTGGCGCAGTGGTTGAGAGTCCACCTGCCGTTGCAGGGGACACGGGTTCGTGCCCCGGTCCGGGAAGATCCCACATGCCGTGGAGCGGCTGGGCCCGTGAGCCATGGCCGCTGAGCCTGCGCGTCCAGAGCCTGTGCTCCGTGGCGGGAGAGGCCACAGCAGGGAGAGGCCCGAGTGCCGCAAAAAAAAAAAAAAAAAAAAAGAGGACTTCTGAGACGATAAATAAGATTATTCCGTATCGAAGTCCCTTTGGGACGGTTGGTGTGTGGTGGCCTTGGATAGTGCTTTCTTGAATAACGACTTGTCATCACTGATATATTGTT